GGGGGGCGTCAATTGTTAGTTTATAAAATTAGCTTAAATTCGTTGTTTCAAAGTCGCTATTTAGGGATTTCCAGTGAATAAACGGTAAATTTACAGATATACAACGTTAAAATCCGGGGTTCCATTGCCCGCTGTGGCTAAATAGTCCATAGTGTAAGTTTGCACTAAAAATCAAAGGGGAGTTATTTGATTGGGAATAAGGAGTTAAAAGAATGTTTAAATTTGTTATTTTTCTTGAAGAATTTCACAGATGACCCTACAACTCGATTTATGAAATATATTCTCAAATATCCTAATACGTGATTTTTTTTATGAAGACAGGAAAAAAATCGTGTACCGAAAATTGGATTTCCTCGTCTTGGATGGCCACCAAAAGCAAACACGTGCGAATGATCTGAGGTCACGACTAATAATGTATCGTCTGTTCTCGTCATTTCTAACGCTCTGTTTACAGCGTCCTCTAGTGCCAATGTGTCCGTAAGAGCACGATAAGCATTGTTAAAGTGATGAGCATGATCTATTCGGCCTCCTGTTGTGGGTAAGTACATAAATTTGGTTATTATCAAATTATGGTTTATAAAACATCAAATAAAATATAATTTTATTCTTACACTTGAAATAAAAACGTTTTGGGAAAACATAAAGGTTAAAACAATCAGTGACTGTGAGACTCGAAGTGAGATGAGTTGCTGTTTTTGCTGAAAAAAAAATGTTGTTATTTCTTATTAAGCACAAGGGGCTATCTGTGCTCTGTCAACCCCGGGTATTGAAATCCGGCTTCTAGTGAAAAAAAAGAACCAACAACAACAAAGAAAGGGACGAAAGGATAATCAACGATCTTATATTGAGAGACACAGAGAAACATTATACCTCAAAGCTAGGTTGTTTAAAACTATGTTTAAAACGATACAGCTATGAAATGAGATAGAAATACTTTTATCAATAAAAACATGTTGACTTAGCAATGAAATAGGAGGCTTCACTGGGTAATGAAGAAAACTTTGTTACACACGTAACATAGTATAAACGTTTCGACAAGTTTTTTTTAGCCGCGGCATAACGGCTCATAGAATGGTTTTGAGTTTGCTTTGTTTTTTCAAGTGCAAACTTTTAGCTCATAGCTCCATCTTTTGACCGATATGAGATCTAATTACAGCCGCGGCTATTGAGGGTCCCCTCTTGTTTTTCATTATCAGGTACCCATTACCCATCCATTACGTCTTCCTACTTTATCGTATCAACGTGGTTCCTCGTCATCAAAACATGAGGTAAGCATATTTCGCACCTGCACCGAATACGCTGGGCATATCAAATGGGGAAGAATTCGATTTGGGATAAAAATAAACATGAGAGATAGGATAAGAGGTGATCATACTTGGACATAATGATAAGTTGTTGGCATACTTTCAACCAAAAAGACGTACGCTATATATATATATATATATACAACAAGTGGTAGAAACGAAATACTA